ATCACAAAACTTTACGATTTCCTTTTTCTAACAATTTGTGATTGATGACCAATGGCGACAAAGGTTTACTTTAGTGCGTGCCCTTGAATATTTCATTAGCTCCGTAATTACATAATTAATTCAGCCTTAGCCTAATCTAATCATAATCTTCACGTACTCACTAAAATACACCGTCTCACATCTTAAGGAATAATGGAATAATCTATTTATAGAGCGGTAGTGGGTAGAGGATATTGACAAATTTGAGGGCCTTAGGTGGGTGACGATAGCGCAAGATCATGCGACAACTGCTAACTTCTAAACCCAGTAGTGAAATTCGACTGTGAACTATGATTATGAAAGCGGTACCAGCAACATAGTAACAAACTACACTACATTGCCGGCTCTAGGAGTAGCCTATAGACAATAAGAAAAGCCTATTTAAAATTCAAAACTATTCTAGTGACCTACCAACATACGGTACGGTATTGAATCAGTGACCATGAGCTATTACTATATTAACCGTATGTTACCGTTAAATCTTCCATCCTCTTTTATCATTAATTAATTCGTGTAAGAGAGAAAAGGAAACGTAACAGTTGGTTATTTGCTTTGAAGCGTAACGATGTGTGCAGAATCTTTCTGCAGATGAAATTATTTCACTTCCTACCTAGAAATATATGTACAATCAACAGCACATCAAGCCATACACTTTTGTTTGAATATCGCCTCCAGAGCAACGGAATAAAATCCGTCAATGTTTAGCAGCAGTAGAGATCCTTGTGAAAGAATTCGTCCAGGGAAATACTGCCACCTTACCTACATACTTCTGTCTTCTTTCTGTGTGTTCCGGTTTCGATGGGTAAGGGAGCTGGTGAAATTACAGGCAAAATTGGGACTTGTCAACTTATGTCTCAGGGTGACGGCGCAATGGCAGTGCCCCTCAGATCTTTGCAATTTAAAGCTCTGAGTGGCACTGCAACTGTTATGGACAGGCGTGTAGCTTACCATCAGGCGCACGACTTGTTCGTCCCGCCACTTGATATTATAAAAAAAAACTTGATATGCTGCCCTCTGTACATTAGATACAAAATAGAATGATGTTATTTTACTTCGATCACTTCTACAAATGTTATAAAACTGTGTTGAAGAGGAACACTTGTACTTTTATTAAATATATATTTTTGTGGAAAATACACACAAAAATGTTACAAATATATTATTTAACTTAACCTGCAGGCTGTAGATAATGCTGTGTATACCAGCCTTATACGCGAAGATATATGTAAAGATTAATGGATTACATTTAACGTCCTGAATAAAAATCCCGTGTCACTAAATTTTTTTACCGACTTTTACCTTTTACACACGCTTTTACCGTCTTTTATTTTTTCCAAAGAGGTGTGTTCCGTCTATCTGTTCGAGTCATCATACACAGTAAACAATTGACCGTCTTATCTAAGAGTTAACACGTATGTCCTAAGATCCAGCAAGCTACAATGGGAAAAGCGTTAAACGTTTCAGCAGCTCAAAAAAGTCATTTCCAAAACGGTGCTCAACTCATGGTTCTCCTACTTCGAAAGTATTTGAATCTAATGACGATAAAGATCTACGACCACATCTCCATGAAAAAGAAAATCATAGTAACCATTTCAAATTACGTTGTAAAATGGTTCTATGATTAGCATGTATGAATAAAAGCGTTAGGTACCTAATGTACATCTAATTGCAATACCTAATGAGGCTTTTAAGTATGTGATACCTCGCAAATAAGTAATATCTTCATACATGAATGCAGATATAATTTAATGTTATAAACACAATCGCACATTGATAATGACCATGTCACTATACAAAAAGCGGCATTTTTTAATTTGTAACGCCATCTTGGATTTGAGCGTACGAGCTTTATAATGCAAAAGCCCCCGTAAACATTGTTTTTCTAGAACTGCCTAGATGACATACGGACATTAGGCTGTATAAGGGCAATGCGTTGCAACGGGGCATAGGAGACAGCGCGATAGCGACATTTTTTTAATATTTATTTAATAGTGACAGAGATCGCTGAGATTTCGAACAGTTTACTTAAAAGACCCCGTCTTTTTTAGAGTGATACACAGTGGGCCCAAATTGATAATTCTTGGACATAGAAATAACTTGTACGGAGTATCGAGCTGTTTTTTTTAGAAAAGTGTAATGTGTGTAAGGTTTATTTGTAATATAGGTCCAATCATTCTCTATCAAGACAAAAATAATCCATCTGCAGGTACTTGCGGCTTTACGAGTAAAGACAAAATAGCTAACTCTTTTATGTACTTTTTTAACAAAATACATGAGCTTTGACTAAGGAAAAATTAATTTTAGTGTAATTTAGAGAGTGTTATAACAATAACACGAACGTTAAGTAGAAACTAGTATATTGTGTTAAAAAATAAATAACAAATCTAAAATTTTGACACCTTTTTACTCGTAAAGCCGCAAGTACCTGCAGATGGATTATTTTTGTCTTGATAGAGAATGATTGGACCTATATTACAAATAAACCTTACACACATTACACTTTTCTAAAAAAAAATAGCTCGATACTCCACAAGTTATTCCTATGTCCAAGAATAATCAATTAGGGCCCACTGTGTGTCGTTTTGATTAAGACTAATATAGTTGGATTGCTGCTACGCAGGATACATAAAAAACATTAATTAAAGGTATCCTTTTATTTACGAAGTTTAAAATTAAATTGCATGACTTAATTCGGTTTTATGAATATTTTATGACGATATTGCGTAATAAGAAATGTTAAATCATATGAAAAAATAGTAAGCAAGCAATAGTGACAAACGTTAGCGTAATTCTCAAAAAATACTTTTCTCAGTTTGCGTCATAAGTATTTATTTGAAGTTATACCAAAAGAGGCGTCGTCGTAGCGTTCCTTCCGCGGACATTTTCCATCGGGAAAGCAGCGGCTCGTGTAATTAGTAGAAACGAGAGCGAAGCGATTTCCGAGACGGATCGCTCTACAATTAAGCCACCTGTTTTATAAGGTACAAGGCAAAAGCATTTAATAAAATGTGAATGAACTATATGTTGTACACAAATAGTACCATTTTTTTATGATCTGGAAATAGTGACGTCACATAGATTGAGTTTTCCATTACGGTATTAGGATATAAATATTAATATAATTGTTACTAAATAATCACAAAATACACAGCCGGTTTTAGTAGCAGTAGAGAGCTTCTTGTGAAAGAGTTCGTCCAGGGAAGTACTACCACCTCACCTATTCTGCCGCCAAGCAGTAATGTAAACGTTTCTTCATTCCCGTTTTGAAGGATAAGCGTGTTTACGCACTGCATCCGATTCGCATTGGTTCCGAATACGGGACAATACAAATCTAGAAAACACGAACCCACTTCGGATGTCACTTGTTGCTTGTATACCTACAGATAAAATGATACCTGTGACATTTCGGACCGTCATTTCTCGGATTCGGAACTAATACGAATCGGGCGTAGTGTGCAAAATCTCGGGGTGCTGGTGAAATTATAGGCACATGAGACTGGTCAATTTATGTCTTAGGGTGACTGGCGCAGTGGCAGTGTTACTCTGTTCTTTGCAATTATATATATATATATTTATATATATATATCTATATATATATCTATATATATATATATATATATATATATATAATATTTAGAATAATATTCGTCATGTTTAGTAGCAGTACAGCTCCTTGTGAAAAAAATCGTCCAGGGAAGTACTGCCACCATACCTACTTCTGTCGCCAAGCAGTAATGTCAGCATTACTGTGTTCCGGTTTTGAAGGGTAAGTGTGCTGGTGAAATTACAGGCACATGGGACTTGTTAATTTATGTCTCAGGGTGACTGGCGCAGTGGCAGTGTTACTCTGTTCTTTGCAATTTAAAGCAACTGTTGTAGACAGGCGTGTCGCTTATCACCAAAGACGTGACTTATTCGTCACTTTGTATCATACAAAAAAAGGCACTTAGCAACTTACTTAGAATGAAAAATGAAGGTACCTACTAATAAATGCGTTTCTTACTAAGGATCCTGAGGGAGTAACAATTTATTCTGTGTCTAATTTTCGCTCATCTTGCTAGACACACATAAACACTATATAACATAGCGAGTAGAGTACGTCATCGCTTAAAACTCATACCGCCAATTAACGATGTAAGGCGGGCGCGTGCGATGCGCGCGACGGTACGCTTCACATTCGTACCGCGAGCCGCCCGCGCACAACGCGGCCCCCAAAAAGTCCCGACGCCCTAACTGAACAACTGTCCAGGACCACAGTACCGTAAACAAAACTACAGAGACCGTAACAACCAGTGTTCATCAAGTAACAATTTGTGTGATCAGTATTCAAATCCATATTTATAAATATGCTCTTTTAATTTTAATTTTTTGGCTCGGGAGGAGAGTCAATCGGGCGGATCGCGGGGGTGTCGTGGCGTGAGTGTGTGAGTGTGTGTGTGGCATGGGGTAGGATGGGTGCAGGACACAGCGCGGAGGGCGACGGCGGCGCGTACGCCAGCGACCCGCCCGCTCACGACCGCCGCAAGAGTTACAGTAGGAGGCGAAGGTAGGTTCTTGACTAATCACACTAATAAATTACCTAGCCTTAGACTAGGGAATTCCTTATATAGGAAGAATAGAATCTTAAGAGATTTTCAGTACGTTCTTTTGTCTGTACTTTTCTATAACATACAAGGCATTAGAGTCTGATTTCGTATCAGTAACTAATTTTATTACATGAAAACAAAATTATTTATATAATAAAGATCTGTGTGGTCAACCATCGTTGATCGTTGGTACGAGCTTACTCAGGAGACGCATGTTTAACGTACTCACAAAGATAGAATTATAGGCATACGACAATACAGATGCAAGTAGGATGTTTCGTGTCCTGATTGTAATCATCAAGAAGGATGATGCGAAGCAATTGGTCGTAATTTTATTTTAAATACGAGTCCAATAACCTCATAAAATTATCCTGAATTGAAAGATTATTATTCAACTACTAGGTTGCAGGGTCTTCTAGTTTTTAGACTTATCACTTGTATGGTCTTCTTGGTTCCGATTGACTGCAGAGAATGTGACCTCACATCTATTCTAAGAGAATTGTGAAGCTATTCTGACTTGCAACTTCCTATTAATAAGACAACTACTACTTAAACTTTAATTTCACGTAATTAAAACTGACAAATACTGGAAGATCTTTTGAAAATGAAATAAATAAATTAATAAATGGTGAAAGCGATACAATAGTGTCGAAGATAAGATTGCTATTACACGTTACGAACGACAGCGGCACAAAACATCAATTGGGATAAGATTAGATTCAGAGTTTAATCATACGATTTAAATTCAACTTTAAGTCGTTTATGTAATATCGTATTATCGTCGTAAATGTAATGTCGTATGTGACACGATCGTAATATGCATAGCCCATATATGTACCTATATAACGTCATAGCGTTCGGCAATCCTTGCTACAACCGCATGGCATGATCAGCATTGCTCGAGAGATGCGCAGGCGCATCGAACACATAACGAGCGGTATTCTGACAACTGGAGCGTAGCCTAACTGCATGCTTTCAGCTGACCGTTAGCAGTTTTTTCTCAGTTCTCTTTTAAAAAGCTCTACATTTATTTAGTTCCATGGTTAACAATTTAATAATGTCTTCTTTGTATTATGCATCAATCCGTATACGTTCCAATGCAGGGCTAGTGTTTAAGCTAGGTTCAAACTAGGTAAAAAATTAAATTATATATAAATTGTGCTATGTGTGCTGGTTGCACGTGGTTCATGATTACAAACTAGTCAAATAAAGAAATAATACATATTGGTTCAGGTCAGAGAAACTTTTCGACTTGTTGCCACCGTCACGTTTCCACCATCGCAATTCTCGCCAAAGGAGTAAAGCCCATACCCACATCCTTGATGTGGGCTCCGACTTTATATTAAAAAAATTAATAATAATTTTCCTTTTGCTAAAATATATGGCCAATACTAAATGTGCACGGTTAATCAAAAAGTATGATGTTGTTACGCGGATTTGAAATAATATTTTACAACAGGTGATTGTTGCCGCCAAAGCAATGATCGGTCGGACAGTCTATATTACGCCATATGTAACGCTGTAACGTAAAATACGGAACCAGACGATAATCAAAACATTTATTACTATTTTCATATATAAAGCTACAACTATATAAAGCTAAAAAACAAAACTGACTCTTATCATCGTGGATCTTAATGCAATTAAACACTCTCTTGCATTGGCCTGTCTCTTGATTGAATCAATGACATATTTATTATAATTCATTACTTAATACTATTGCAGCAATCCTGCTTTGTGTTCAAAATAATTTTTGATAGAGTCATGTCAATGTAAGCAAACTAAAATGTAAATTAATGTTACATTACTTACTTCATGATTATATTTTCTTTAATCTTTATTTATTTAGGAGGTTTTATACAATGTGTATGCCAGTTCCATCGTACCCTGAACTATATACTATACTTACATGTCTGGGCGGCGCTGTTGGAGAGCCGATTCAACAAATAGTAGTAGCCTTTTGCCTGTTTCGTGTGGTATTGCTTAATATAAAATTTATAGCACCTGGTAGTAGTAACTAGCTGGCTAGTAGCAAGGATGTTCGGTTGATCTGCAAGTCTCTCATCAACGCCGCCCTCTGTTGTTTGTACCGGACACATTCCAGTAACAAATGATATGCATTTTCCACTACTCCATATAACTCGCAATTAAGAGTAATTGTCTTATGAAACACGATTCTAGTTTGATTTACGATTCTAGAAGGCCGTTTAAAACATATTGTTCTTTATAGTACAATATGTTATCGCATAGTTTTGTAATGAAATAAAAAATATATTTTTCGGATACTCATCCATAAGAGTTAGTAACATAATACTTAAAAGTAGTGTTACTATTACAAATAACTACTCTTTTTTATATACTTTAATATATTCGGGTACAGTTCTCAGGAAAAAAAACCGTGGACGCAGTGCTATGAAACCCAGGAGGCTGTTACCGCTGCCACTAATTCTTTTATTAATTAATAAAATCGTTCTCTCATATAAAAGTAAGATTTCATACACACATACATTATTTTGAGGAGAACCTTTTAGTTTTTTAGCATGGCTTTGTAAATGAGATAAAATAAAACAAAGTCCTCGTTCCTTTGATTTGCTTTGTTTCGTAAATTTTGGTCGCATAGTGTTCTTATACATTGATAGTCCAGAGGGATAACAGCTGCTTTTCACGAGGTCGACGATTCGAATCCCTGTGATGGTAAGTACTATGTAAGTACCTATGACTTTAATTTCTAAGTATCGTACATTTGTAAATATGTACTTTACCAACTATACCTCTAGCTAACGGAGAAGGAAAACATCGTGATGAAAACTTATTACGAGTATGTCGAAAACAATCACAATCTTTAGAAAAACGTGTACCCAAAGTTGGCAACCCGCTTTGGGCCGACTCTATCATTTGTTAACCCTCTCTTTAGACGGGAGCCATGCCCAGAAATGATGGTGTCATTGTACAAGAATTTAAGATACCTATAACATAAATGTACTTACTTAGAAGGAAAAAAATGCTTTATAATTGACTCGTGTGTTAATTTACACATACCCTATAGAAGCTCATTTGGTACAATCTAATATATAAAAACAAAGTAACCTATTGGGAAAGTCGTTTTACCTTGAAAAAATGGTAAAACGGGTATATCGCAAGATTTAGAAGTTATAAAACATAAAGAAAATGTTGCAATGCTAAATGTGAGTAAATTTGAATTCAATTTACAAGATTTAACAATGAAAGTAAGCGGAGAATCGCCGTCAGCCCTGCAAGATGGAGTAGAGCAACTTAACTATTGAAGATAAAGAATCAAAGATGTATAGATCAATCAACATACGCTACGTTTATATGAAAATATACAGCAGATTTATGACTCCGATGAGTCGAATGGCTTCTTAAGAGTAATAAAAAACATGTTATTGCACATAATAAGTGAAGACAGTCGCTTTCTCACTAATGGTCAATATACTTGCTTGCTCAGATCGGTGAATAGCGTCAGATTATGTATTGTTCGTATTGGAAATTTATAAATATTTAATGACATTTAAAGATCTATACTTCGTTTCAATCCATTCTAAACACAAAGCAAACAAACAAAACACTGACCCGACTATAGACGGTTTAGTGCTGGACAATTTTACTGCCACTTACTACTTCTTATACGTAAATGGCAATTTTCATATCTAAAACCAGCAGCACAATTTTAATTAAGACATTGTTTTTTTCACCAAGTGACGGTACGAACAAGTCGTGCATCTAGTGATAAGCGCTGCTGGTGCAGTGCCACTTAAAAGTTTAAATCACATCGATCTGATGGGTACTGCCACTGCGCTCGTCAATTTGACTTATGTCATGATGTATTGATTTAAATTAATGATGTCAAGACTTAAGTACTACAAGGCGGTCAACCATTATATACGGGGGTTCTATATATAGAGTTTACATTGATGTAAATAAATTTATTAAATTAATTAATTTAATGAATTAATTATTTAATTTAATGAATCGATTTGTTTAATTGAGTCGTACTAGCGGTTTTCATTACATAACCTGTATAAATATATTTAAAATTTTCGAAATCTTAATTTTAAATCCTTACTCTTAGATACTCGTTCGATAGCGATTGATATTTTCGATTTACTAATCGATTACAAAACTTTTAATTGAATGTTTATTCAATTAAAGTTGTTTATTAATTGAATAAACTGAATTAATGCAATACAAAAAAAATAGGAAATAAAAATTTGTCAAATTGGTCGATATTTATACTGCCTTCGAAAAAAAGAAAGGCATAAGCAGCAAATTCTAAATTCGTAGACAAATGTGTTTAAATATTTTTTAGTAAAAGATACATTTGATAATAACACACACACACACACACACACACACACACACACTCACACACACTCACACTCACACTCAATATAGCCCCGCACTAGGGAAACCCTGTGTCGCGGGTGCCATGGGCACACACATAGACAACCACAAATTACACCCAAACTCACGAGATAAATAAATGTAGGCCATACAAATATTTCTCCCGGCCCGGGAATCGAACCTGAGACCACCGCGTGGTATGGTAACCGTTCGGCCACAGAGGCAGTTAAATTTGATAATAAGTAGGTACTTTATTATTATATATGTATGTTATAAATCATACCACGTTTAATACGGAAACTTTCATTGTATTTTAATCAATCGTTTTAAAAAATACCTTAAATGTTCTCCTTTAGCGTAATAAACAAAAAATATTATAAGTGCATATAAAGAGCATTGAGAAATTAAAATGTGACTTTTAATGTTTGCCTCATGAAAAGGACTAACGGGTACTACAATTGTATTCAGTTGTGCCTTTTTTGTGTTATTTATTGTAATTCAATTACTTTATAAAGACATAGTTTCGATCCATGAATAAGTAAAATCCTTCGTTATTAGTGTTTTTAACTTTATAAACGTCAAATAACCTTTTATAGCA